AATCGTTATTTGGGTGCTGATATTCAATTTTAAATTCCGGTACGTAACTGATTTTTTGGGTGACGCTAGGGTGGTTAATGACGCATGATCATGAATTGCCGGATAATACTAATATTGAATAAATATCACAAAATTTGTTCTGTCAGAGCAAATGATTGGTTGAAACGTGACACATGTCAACCAATCATTTGCTTCGACAAAACGAATTTCATGATATTAATCGATGCACGATCAATATTATACTTGACGATTTCCTATTGATATTAAAAAAATTAAACAAATGAATGTCTAGATTTTTATTTATTGACTGGATCAGATCTCTACTTAAAGTTACACTATTAATTACATTATCTGGTATAAGTTTAGAAAGGATCGCCAAATTCTTTTGCTAAGTGAGTAAAAAGTTCTTAGACAGAATTTTTTAAGATTTAGTATTTGACCTGTTGTTTTATAACATAACTCTGGGTATCGCACCTAGACTTCTGGTTACTTAAGACAATAGTATATCCCAGTTAGACGAGACGCGCGATTATCTTAATAAATATTCAGACATATCTTATACTAGATATGTTTCTGCATCTGAAGCATGCTGAAGATTATTTAATTTTGGTTTGCAGGAAAAATCACATCATATTGAACGATTACCTGCAATGTTATCTACTGGAAGTACACTAGTTAGGGTGTTAGGCATTTTTTTAGAGTGTCAAGATGCTCTTCCGTAACTTGGCCAAGTTGACATATCATACCTTAGGGTTCTGAATAAGGCACTGGTCATTTCAAATACTCAATCTTATTTTTAATTCCGGTAAGTAACTCTCGGTACGGTTCGAAGTATCCTTTGAATTAATTATTACAATTCTTATGTATCTTAATTATTAGATATGAAACAGAAAAAGAAATAACATTTAACATAAAAATAAAGCATAATCGTTGGGATGGTGCGTTTTTAGATCGAAACTTTAGGCCCCGGTACCCCGGCAAGTTGGAGTAGTGGGTTGTGTGAATCGAACACGGAACTGTACGGCTACGACTGACGCTTTATAACCAGGTAGGCAGTTCGGCTACCATACTAGAATGATAAGCGGGTTCGATTACGTTATTTTATATGAAGTTTCAGGTGAAACGAACGGTTGTTCTGAAAAAAAGCTAACGAGAGATTTGGTTTAAACTAGCAAAAGTTATTAAAAAGCACCTTCAACGAGTTGGAAAACGAATTTTTCACGGGATTTTATCTCAAATCTGGCCAGTCTATGAAAGAAACTCTTTTATGGAACAAAATCATATACATACAGATATGTCTAATATTTATATGTAATTTAATTTATACTTTAGTTCTCAAATAAAAATCAAGATATTGTTTAAGAAATTTATTTCATTTAACAATTTTCGCAAATTTGTAATTATTATTCAAACAAGCTTGTAACTTATATGTATATTTGGTTATTTTTTCCAGTAATAAAGTAACAACGTTTTTAAAATTAAAATTTGAATGTGATGTCACATGTTTTTAATTAATTTTATTTGTCAATTTTCTAAAAATTTTATTTAAGTAGATGATCAAAAATTGATTAGCTTAGTATCACTGTTTCCTAGTATACAGTATACACTCATGGAATTCGAACGTACTAGCCAACTTATTCAACAGTTAGAAACCATTGATCCTTTAAAAAATGTAGACAATTTTGTTCATTTGTTAAAGCAAATTACAACGGAAGCTCAGGCTAGTTCAAAATTTCGGTTTGTAACAATTTTGATATTGCACGGATTCATTACGAACGCGAACTTTCATTAATTAAGATTCGATATTCATCAGAGAAATTCTTGGACAGAACCCAAAATTTTGGGTAATTATAACAAAAACATGCTCATTAGCTATAGAAAAGTTAATTATTGGCGAGATTATTGTCATTCCCATTATATTATGGCTTGTTCGTACGTTCAGAAACATAGTAGCAACTGCTACTGAAAATCAAAACAAAGCCTTGTATGTATTAACATCAAATTAAGGTCTAATAAATACCAAGATAAAAATACTATTGTTTGAATAGAGAGCAAGAGTGGAATAAAATGATCGAGAATATTTTGTGGTATTGCTTGTCGCAACCTTACTCAGGTGACGACACCCAATGTAAGTAGTTATCTAGGAAAAAAAAAACGCTTGAAATAAAACACACATTCATAGTCTTGGCAAATTTTTCAAGATGTCACGATTATAAGGTCCGGAATGCAAGCGTTATCTAATTTGATAACGGGGAACACTTCCATTCAAGAATCTATTTGGTCAGATTTTATGAGTAGAAGTGAATCCAATAATCTTTTAAGGTGAATATCTGAATAAATTATTTACATAATTATGTTTAATAACGGTGATATATCAA